ATACGGGAGAGAAGCGGTTCGCGTGTCCCGTGTGTAACAAGAGATTCATGCGCTCCGACCACCTGTCCAAACACGTCAAGACACACAACGGCAACGGAACCGATGGCAAAAAGGGCAGTAGTAGTGGTAGTTGTAGTGACTCCGAGAACAGTCAAAGCGAGCCCTCTGTCAACGCGTCCAGCAATGGGCCGGCAGTCAACTCACAGCCGTTGGGACCCCCGCAGAACAACCCCAATCACAACCAACACATGTCTGGACACGAGCCCCAACAACACGACGGAAAGTAAGTTATCATGCATTTCATTGTTTCTTTTGTTTTCTACTTTTTCTATCAGTCCTTATCTGAGTTAATGTCTTATCAAATGTAATCATTATAAACTCTATTCAATTATAATTTAAATTTAATAATTAGTTTTAAAGCAATAATAGTTTGAATACAATTATGTTTTTATTATTTCCTTATTTACTGTTGTGATAACGAAATGATTGTATTTTTAATTGAAATGTTTTGTTTTATTATGTCCTCAGAGTTGCCAAACTATGGACTTAAAGTCAATCAACACAATAGACTGAATTCACATTAAGCTCATCCATACATTCATTGAATACATTCTCAATTCTGGACAATACTCGACCACAAATTAGTTTGTCATTTGATATCTCACTTATTGTATTATATTTGAGAGCAAATGTAAATTCTGAACTCATTTGACCAAATGTTTGGTCACTTTTGAAGCCATTCTAACAATTGTGTTATTTTTAAAGCGAATTATGTTTTAAATTAATGACCGAATTGTAAATAATGTCTTTTTTGTCGCAATAATTTTATTAATTTTTCATTTTCGTCGCTTTGTATTTGTGGCCAAACAAACAATAACTATTTTGTTTGCTGTTAAGGGTCTCTGTATTATATTTGCTTCATTCAAATTATAATAAATAATATTAATTCAATTCAATACCTGTGTTATTTATTACCAAATTATAGAGTTGTTTATTCCAAACATTATTTCATTTATCTATTAATTAAAGGTAAGTACTTTTATTGTACAATTGAAATACAATTTAAAATAAAATATTTTACAAACATTAATATCAAATTAACTGCGAAATCAATAATAACTACAGTAATATAGTGTTTAGCTGGGAATTTAATTAATATTTATTTTCTACATTAGTTTAAGTCAAGACTTTGTTTAATAAATCAATTATTCAAACAAAAGAAGTCATTTTCAATCATTAGTACTCGTATAGAGTTATAGAGTTAAAAACGAAAGTATTTTTTAAAATTCTCCAAACATTCACGTTGTTTGACATTCTTTATCTAAAATTAGACATACCTTTCGAAATGATTTTTATCTCAATTTTATATTCTTTAGGTAATTCAATTTAAAATATATAAAATGTAATAACATTTATATAAATTATGTTCATATATGGCTTATTACAGTATTAAATCATATTTTTAGAGTATTTATTAATAGAAAAGTATAATAGATTTGAAATCAAAACTTTATTATCGCTTCACTAATCAAATTCATATAAATCTAAAATAGTATTTTTGTTATTTATAATCATTTTGTGTATTCAAGAGTAAAATTATTTAGAAAATAAATTTTTCTTTTTAGTCAATACTAGAATAATCTCTGACTTAATTAAAATTATATAAAAACATAATGCCTTTAATTTAAAGCAACAAAACAAATATTAAAAGTTATTAATCCGTTGAAAATATATAATTTAAATTGATCAGAATTTTACAAAAACCAAATTACAAAATGATTAATGTATTTGATCATAAAAAAGAGTAGGGATTAGTTGGTCAGTGAGTATATCATAGAAAATGGCACATAATAACTATGAAAACATGGCAAACCTCTGGCTTTGAAGAGTGCATTTAAAAGTGAAGTTTAAATTGAAAATTTGGTGGGTTAGCCCTCGACTATTATATACTATGCATGTGTGCAATAGAGTAGACCTGAGTTTTTTCAATGTTTGTCTGAACAAATATTTTCTTGTAATATATCATTTACGCTGAATTGCAAAATACAACCAATTTTTTGCATCCATATTCACTGTTTAACAAAACCTCAACTCCGCTGTCCTCCCAGTCCTCCCAGTCCTGTCCAACACATTCAGTGCCACATTCTCTATCAAACTGTTATTCCCTTTTTACAGATCTCTTAATAAAAGCCAAAAGTCTGGGTCTGTTCTTAGCCTTCAATGACTCCTTTGTGTCAAATGGCAGTCAAAGTCTAAATATTTAGATTACATACCAAACGACACGAGTTTGAAATTAAATTAAGTTATTTTCAAATATTCATTACAATTATAGTTATTAAAGCGCTTCACAATTCAAACGCACATTATTTGCTAAAACAAAGAGAAAAATAAATAATAAGTTTTTCTTTAATTATTTAAAAGATTTAAAACTAATTTTCAATGTATTGTAATAAAGCAAACAAAGAAATGTCTAAATTTCTAAATTTCTAAATTTCTAAATGAGTAGTTGAGTGAACAGAAAGACACTTAACATGATAATTAATATTTGGATCGAAATTCATTGCACAAACTCTTAAGACATTTAAATGTTATTTTCAATAATAAAAAGAAAATTTGTAGAGAAAAAGAAGAATACATTTGTGTAAGTATTATATGAAAGGAGGATATTGTTGGCTGACTATATGAGCCAACAGTACTACACCATCGACACTATGTTTGTATGCCTACCAGTGGTTCACTTATATTGCAAATTAAACTTCTTTCACAATGAAAGTGCATTTTTCATGGCATCAAAGATTTGAGGCGTGTATGAGATAGTGAGAGGGATGGCATCGTGTCTGACCTTTGCTGGCTTTGGCTGTCATTTCCAAAGTATAATGCTTTCAATGATTTCATGTCCTAAACTTATCAAACATACACCACTCTCACTGGAAAAACACTTTTTAGTCGCAAAATTATTATCATTTCATTTTCATCCTAATCTTTTAATTTAGACTCAATTTCTTTTGATGGCAAATATGTTTGAATAGTGAGAGTGAGAAGTGGAGGCAATAAAGAGGCGATTGTCTCCATTCACACCAAAAGGTATAGCATTTACACTCATATGAGTAACACTTTGGCTCAGAGGAGACGACCCGTAATGCCTACCGAAGCGCTCGCGATTTGGTGTTGATTTTAAAGCGCTTTAAAACTAAATTGAAATAAAATGAAAGTGTAATAAAGGGGGCATAAAGTTACTGATCATCTCATCTAATATACTGTTTCACATCAAAGGCGAACCGCGTTTTAAATTCACGTCAGAGTATTGGGAATTAATTTGAAACTCAACTCATTTGAAATGCAGTCTAAAGTTAGGCAATAATGTGTTGTTCACTGTATCGGTGCTATAGATATGACGACTAAATTACAAAATACTTTAAACACAGCCTTAACTCCATTCACATCTCTGCGGATATTTGAAATTTTATCGCATTTTAAATTAGATCTCAAATGAACTCAGTTTTGGGTTTATTTTGAGTTGTTTTCTCTAGACTTCATCTTTCGCCACAATATTTCATAAACTGTTCGCATATTAACTGTTAGTTTCATTTGCTTTGCATTTGAGTTATTCTGTGAAAATGAAGAGCAGATGGAAATGAGTTTAGAGTTTAGAGAATAGGAATAAAGTGTGAAATCATTTCATGTTTTATCTGTTTTTGTCACAAGACTTAGTCGACTGTCGACTCCTTCACAGCAGAGATGCGGAACTTCGGTCATCTCAGCCGTCAATCGCCGGTTGAGGGCATGTCTTCATGTCTTATGGATGCGATGCAAAGGCAGCACATTCTTCAATGTGTCACTTGTCTGCCGGCGCTATGCTATCAATGCTGTTGAGTAGTTGTGTTGAAAAGTCGGGTGGATTTCTAATTTTGAGACCAGATTTGAGCGAAAAGATGTCAAATTAAGACTCGTATGAGGAGTACAGGCGAGAGAGCGAGAGAGAGAGAGAGAGAGAGAGAGGGCGTCAGCGCCCGGATAATGCGATACTTACTTGTAATCACTTTCAGACTCTTTAGACGCAAACAATTGCTCATATTTTTGAGGAATTCTTTAGGAATTCGTATTATATCTCATATAACAGTCTATTATCACATATGAAGGCAGCAAAAGGCAGACCAACGCCGCCAACAGTCAGTCCATTATTTGCAGAGAAGATCACATTTTTGGCTCTTTTTTACTCATTATTATACTATTTTAGACTTCACTTGACTTTCGAAGGGAATCTAACAAATTATAGCTCCATTTCCACACATATTGTATAGTTTCATCTGATTATTGAGTGGTCTTTACATTTCACGACTATATAAACCTCTAAATTACTTCACTTTATAGACTCCACTCATTATATCTCTCATATTATTCGTATTCATAAAAATATACACCAAATAATATATTATCAAAAAATAATATTATAATTAAATGAAATTAAAATAATATTTATAAAATCAATACATCAATACTTTCTGAAATAAAAATAAAAATATATTGATTTTACACAAGTATACAAATAACTCTTATTTCTACATAAATACAATGAAGGAGTAATTTTAATTAATTATTTAATTTTCGATAATTATATTTCTTTTGCGTTAACAATAGGGTAGAAGAGTATAGAGAAAGTGAATGTTTATGGAGTGATAGGCAATGAATATTGTGTGTATTGTATAGTATAGTGTTGGTGGTGTTGGTAGTGATGGTAGTGTTGGTGTTTTGATGAATTTTATCACTATTATTAAGGCGTTTTATGATTTGGAGGCCAACGATGAACACTCCAACACTCCAGTGCTCTCTTGAGTCTCTCATTTGGAGCGCATATTCTGTGCCAATATATGGCACCGAAACACACAATGTATGAGATCTGCAGTACTCTTGAAGAAATAAAAATGCAATTCACCGAAACTGACTGATCTATTCAAATGGGCTAAAAAGGAGTGTGGAGGAGGGTTGGGGCGGTGGTTTGCACTTCAAAAAATACACTCTAATGTCATTAAAACTTTCTTTAAATGTATGCACTTTTTGTCACTTTTCGACCAAATAGTATTTGGACACCACTTGAGCACTAAATAACAATCATTTCAATAAACGTCACATTATTTGTAACTAATTTTTTCCAACAATTTTATGCATCAAAAATCACTTTTGTAAATGACATTCAATGCAAAGGATATTCATTTTACAGTAAAATTAATTTAAATTATAGAAAACTTGTCTGTATTTACTTTAATCATCACTCTTTGCGTCTAAATCTGCACTCTTATGAGTTAAGCCCATAATTAGTGCACAAAAAGTAAATTAGATTAATATGAATATCAATCATAGCTTAGTATTGATAGTAACTCTGCCTTCAAATATATTTTTGTTATTTCGTTCGTATGTCTGAGAGACACCCCTTTCTATACAAAACTTGTTTGCATTTAGTGTTTATAATAATTATGAACAAACAAATCAATTTAAACGTCACATGAATATGCGTTCAAATCTTAATTAATATAAAGATATAAAAAAGATTTATAAATGAAAAATAGATTTAAGGATAGAAGTGTTTCGCAGATTCATGTTATGTGTTATGGAGTCAGTAATGGCATATAAAAGTTGATTTCCACTCAAATGTCTTTCCATTGTCCATATAATACACTATAGATTACTCTATATTCTGGCGCAGAGTAGAGAGAGAGAGAATAGTGAGTATAGAATAGTGT